ATAGGTGCGCCTGCACGAACCATCGGTCATCCCACACAACCGGACACAGACTCGCTCCAGAAAAACGTGAGAATTATACGAAAAAAAAATGAAGACGTGGAAAGGGGGGAATGATGGTATTTCCTTTGTCGGGGAAATGTCGCCCGACGCGGGTCTTAGTCACGCGATGACCGTTCAGTGGTGGAACAATAGCTGGTGTACCCATGCTGACTCTGTTTAATTTTATATATGGAAACATCTGGTGATGTTCAGCGCTTTGAACATACTCCATTTCCAGCATTATCAAGTTTCACTTATCATTATTAACTTGCTTCTATTGTAACTAATCCATGCTTACAGTATATGTTATAATCACAAAGCAAGGAGAACTGTTCATATTTTTCATATTCCGCATTTCATACTTACAATTTGTTCCATTTCATTGGGTCGCGTCAGAAAAATATAAGCAAAATGGAAAATATCCCTACTAGTTACGCTCAGGAGAGCTATTGGGTTCTTAAGTTAAACCGCTCAGACCTCGTCAGTACGTTAAAGTGACGGCTTTGGAAGTAACCTATGCTGTGTATCTGCTCCAAATTAAAAAACGAAAACAAATAGTGGGTTGCTCTAATATACAACTTTCGGCGTGCATACGACATATGTGATATTTAATAAGAAAAACACTTCCTTCTGAGAAAGTGTAGCTGAGGGAGGATGCGTGTGTCTGGGAACACTGCAAGAGTATTAACAGCGTGTCTTGGGATGATGTTATTCTGATCGAGACGCTAGGACTGGTGACTTAAGATGCTTTAAAGCAGTGATTCTCTGTGTGGGCCATATGGACCTCCAGGGAGCCAAGCCATACTCCTAGGGGCCCAAACGGGGTAAAAAAAAAAAGCAAAAAACAAAGAGTTCAAAGGATAAAACACCATTTCTTCCAACTAACAGTCTCTTTTTTTTCTTCGTGGTCCTCTTCTTGGGGACACGAGCTATTATATATATTAATGTATCCACGAACAAGTGGTTTTTAGCAAATAAATCGCACAGGCCGAGATTGAACCCTTGATATTTAAACACGCCACCCTCTTAGCCTGTCAAAATTCGAGATGCCCGGAAATACTTAACCATCATTGTCACCAGTGATGGTTAAGTAGTTTAGGGCGTCTCGAATTTTGACAGGCTATGCGGGTGGCGTGTTAAAGTATCGAGGGTTCGAGTCTCGGCCAGTACAGTTTGATATTATATATATGTCGTGCCGAATATGTAAAACTTGCTACCTTGGCTTAAATATATAGTATTGTAACCACGAACAAGTGGTATTTTATCAATAACAACAATGCGACTAGCCAGGGGATCGAACCCGTGCTGTTTTAGCCCGCCTCATGGTGAGCGAAAAGAACTCATTTAAAATTAAGTCCTTTCTAAAACTTTCTTTTATACGTTTAAAGATATATTTTTTCATTTATGTTAATATAAAAATGAATAACTTTGTACGAAAAGAACCTTAGAAAACTTACCTAACCTTATTTTGACAAGCGCAATTTAATTTAGCCTAATCCAACTAAATATATTTTTGATAAGTTTACAATAATTTAATAAACAAACACAATGAAATATATTTTTTTCGTTAGGTTCAAAATGATTTTTGCGAAATTATTGCATACGCAAATTTTAGCTTGCTTTATTCGGCAAGAAGAACGTTGCTATTTAAGCCAAAATCGCAAGCTTTACCTATTCGGCACGACACACACACACACACACACGCACGGAAGAAGACCAGGCAGAACTACAAAGGGATCTGGACAGGCTGCAGACCTGGTCCAGCAATTGGCTCCGGGAGTTCAACCCCACCAAGTGCAAAGTCATGAAGATTGGGAAAGGGCAAAGAAGACCGCAGACGGAGTACAGTCTAGGAGGCCAGACGCTACAAACTTCACTCAAGAAAAAAGATCTTGGTGCGAGTATAACACCAGGCACATCTGAAGAGCACATCAACCAAATAACTGCTGCAGCATATGGGCGCCTACCAAACCTCAGAACAGCATTCCGACATCTTAATAAGGAATCGTTCAGGACCCTGTACACCGTGTAAGTTAGGCCCATATTGGAGTATGCGGCACCAGTTTGGAACCCACACCTAGCCAAGCACGTAAAGAAACTGAGAGAAAGTGCAAAGGTTTGCAACAAGACTAGTCCCAGAGCTAAGAGGTATGTCCTACGAGGAGAGGTTAAGGGAAATCAACCTGACGACATGGGAGGACAGGAGAGATAGGGGGGACATGATAACTACATATAAAATACTGAGAGGAATTGACAAGGTGGACAGAGACAGAATGTTCCAGAGATGTGACACAGCAACAAAGGGACACAGTTGGAAGTTGAAGACACAGATGAATCACAGGGATGTTAGGAAGTATTTCTTCAGCCACAGAGTAGTCTGGAAGTGGAATAGTTTGGGAAGCGATGTGGTGGAGGCAGGATCCATACATAGCTTTAAGAAGAGGTATGATAAAGCTCATGGTTCAGGGAAAGTGACCCAGTAGCGACCAGTGAAGAGGTGGGGCCAGGACCTATGACTCAACCCCTGCAACCACAACTACGTGAGCAGGTGAGTACACACACACACATGATGTGAAGTTAATGAGAATTAAATCAGATTAACAGGCTAGACGCGTGGTCCAGCAACTGGCTCCTAGAATTTAACCCCGCCAAATGCAAAGTCATGAAGATCGGGGAAGGGCAAAGAAGACCGCAGACAGAGTATAGGCTAGGTGACCAAAGACTGCAAACCTCACTCAAGGAGAAAGATCTTGGGGTGAGTATAATACCGAGCACGTCACCGGAAGCACACATTAACCAGATTACTGATCCAGCATATGGGCGCTTGGCAAACCTGAGAACAGCGTTCCGATACCTTAATAAGGAATCGTTCAAGACACTGTACACCGTGTACGTCAGGCCCATACTTGAGAATGCAGCACCTGTTTGGAACCCGCACTTGATAAAGCACGTCAAGAAACTAGAGAAAGTGCAAAGGTTTGCAACAAGACTAGTCCCAGAGCTACGGGGATTGTCCTATGAAGAAAGGTTGAGGGAAATCGGCCTGACGACACTGGAGGACAGGAGGGTCAGGGGAGACATGATAACGGCATATAAAATACTGCACGGAATAGACAAGGTGGACAAAGACGGGATGTTCCAGAGAAGGGACACAGACACAAGAGGTCACAATTGGAAGTTGAAGACTCAGATGAATCAAAGGGATGTTAGGAAGTATTTCTTCAGTCATAGAGTAGTCAGGCCGTGGAATAGCCTAGAAAGTGACGTAGTGGAGGCGGGAACCATACATAGTTTTAAGGCGAGGTATGGTAAAGCTCATGGGACAGGGAGAGAGAGGACCTAGTAGCAATCAGCGAAGAGGCGGGGCCAGGAGCTATGAATCGACCCCTGCAACCACAAATAGGTGAGTACACAAACACACACACACACACACACACACACACACACACACACACACACACACACACACACACACACACACACACACACAACACACAACACACACACAAACACACACACACAAACACACAACACACACAAACACACACAACACACAACAAACACACCACACACACACAAACACACACACACACACACACACACACACACACACACACACAAACACACACACACACATACAAGCACGCATATACAACAGGCCTAGTGTCTAATCGACATGTGCCTAGGACAAAATGGTAACACACACACACACACACACACACACACACACACACACACACACACACACACATACAAACACACACAAACACACACACACCATATACAAACACAAACACACACAAACACACACACACACACACAACCACACACACACACACACACACACACACACACACACACACATACAAACACACACATAAACACACACACACATATACCACACACACACACACACACACACACACACACACACACACACACACACAAACATACAAACATACATTTATCGTAGGCCGAAGGAAACTCGAACCTACGAATCTCTTGAAAAGAGACATGGTACTAGCAACTGCACAAGAACATTTCCCTGATCTCTCTCCTGTTTCAGTTGGATACAGCAAGGAATCGATTCTCCTGTTTGGAGAGCCTGAAATCACTTCTTCGGTAGGGTGACAAGCAATGGGATCCTCTTGCCCCATTTCACTGCTGCAGAGCGGTTACTGAAATCACTAAGATTGACCAGTAAACTAACCATCTGGTTCCTGGATCAGTGGCATACTGGCAGGCACAAAGAAGTCGCTTCTAGATGATCTTGCTCAGGTAATAACTCGGGGACAGGCCATGGGGCTTATCCTTATTCCATCCAAATATGAAATCATCTCGGTCACTCAGCAAGTAGTCGATGCAGTGAGACTCATACTGCCAGGTGCATCAATTATTGCTGCAACTCTTGGAAATGCCACTGACGCAATTTTCGAGAATAAATTGGACGATTTGAGGAGCACGGAACAACGAATGGGGAATCTAGACACTCACGATGCCTTGTACCTTCTAACAAAGTGCTCGAGTCTGCCCAGGTTAACATATTTCCTAAGATGAGCACCATCATTCTACATGAATACGACAGTCTCCTGACGTAGTTGATATTCAAAAAAGTACTCAACCTTACTCTATATGAACAGTCAGACCAGGAGGTATTGGTGTTCGCAAGGCATCCCAGATTGCACTCATTTCTTTTCTGTCTTCATGTGTGGTATCCAGTGAGCTTGCAAAAGCTATTCTCTCTGAACATCTTAGGGACAATGTATTGGAGTTTGTGACGAAAAGCTCATTGATGGAGCCAGACTCTGGGATAATCTAACAGGCTCCACAACCAGATATTCAGCCCTACATCTTTATGATCAGTTAGAGAGGAGAGAGAGAGAGAGAGAGAGAGAGAGAGAGAGAGAGAGAGAGAGAGAGAGAGAGAGAGAGAGAGAGAGAGAGAGCGTCAATTGTCTTACCGCTACCGCTGACGCAACTGCCACACACACAATGAGTAACCGCATCTGCAGGGAAGAGAAAGCTTGTTAATTTTTGTTCGTCTTGTGCATTTTATGGATATTCACAAAGATTCATTAGCAATGATTTAAATACATGCTTTGTTTGGAAACATGCAACTCTGAATCTTATGCAGAAAAAAAAGAATAATGGAAGAATAATTAATAATTTACTGGGTAATTTTTAGTGCTGAGTAGAGGAGGAAATGTTAAAACCTCTCAGGTCCAGATGTGAATTAATGAAAACAATAAACATGACCAAAACCAAAGAAATAAGTATGAATTCGATAAATTGGAAATCAGAGGAGAGGGTGAACAACCCGATCACATGAAGGGAAAGCCATTGGTAGAGACATTTCAAGGTGTTCCTAAACTCTGTCATTTCTCTGTACTTCTCTATTACTAAAGAGGAGTCTTCTCAGTATCTTTACAAAGACAGTGATGAATTAAGATCATTTCTTTTTGCAAGATGATTTAAGTTCAGGTTGTGTCATACACGCTCCAATCTCAAACTAATACTGGTAAATTTAAGAATTTGATTAGAGAATTAATATTACTAATAGAATTTTAGCACTGTTCAGGTTTCTGCTACGTATTGAATCTATACCATTTTATTGATTCAGTAAGTCATGAACACTGGTGAACCAGTGGAGTGATTAGTCACAGTAATTACTCGGCTCAACTATATTGTTTATAATTTTGTTACCGGTGGATTTAGAGTGATCTGATACTATTATCTCGAGCAACACCACAACATTCAAGTGCTGTGACATTGTTAGCTTTGCATGCCCTAACTCCCTTCCCGACGGACCACTGAGGGAACATTGTGTTGTATGAATCTCTTATTCTGTTCCCTTGGTGGTGTTGTAACCATCATCAAAGTGTTGCAATACCTTGACGATATCCTCATCACCCTACTGAGGTCCCCCCGCTCACGCTGACAAGTTTTAACATCTTGTACGAGCTCCCATCCTCCGTGATGGAATATGACAGGGAAACATACTTAACTTGTATTTCCACTGTGCTACCATAAAGAATAGGGAAGCAGCACACTGCTAATACATGTAATTTTGTTACACAAGAAAGATGCTTAGAAGACATCTAGATTTTAGATAGTGACATTTGCTGAGTAGGAAGAGCAGCAGCAGTAGTAGTAGTAGTATTTTTTTTATTAACACATCGGCCCTTTCCCACCAAGGTACGGTGGCCAGAAAAACTTTCACCATCATTCATTCCATCACTGTCTTGCCAGAGGTGCGCTTACACTACAGTCATAAAACTGCAACATTAACACTCCTTCAGAGTGAAGACACTGTACTTCCCATCTCCAGGACTTAAGTCCGGCCTGCCGGTTTCCCCGAATCCTTTCGTAAATATTACCTTGCTCACACTAAAACAGCACGTCAAGTCCTAAAAACCATTTGTCTCCCTTCGTTCCTAAAACTCTCACGCATGCTTGCTGGAAGTTCAACCCCTCGCACATAAAGCCTCCTTTACCCCCCTACCTCCAATCTTTCCTAGTCCGACCTCTACCCCGCCTTCCCTCCATTACTCTAGAAGTCATTCTATTTTGTCACATCCTCTCTACATGTCCGAACCACCTCAACCTCTCCTCAGCCCTCTGGATAATAGTTTCGGTAATCCTACACCTCCTCCTAATTTCCAAACTACGAATTCTTTGCATTATATTCACACCACACATTGCCCTCAGACACATCTCCACTGCCTCCAGCCTTCTCTTTGTTGCAACATTCACCACCCATGCTTCACACCCATATAAGAGCGTTGGTATAACTATTCTCTCATACATTCCCCTCTTGCTTCCATGGACAAAGTTCTTTGTCTCCACAGACTTCTCAGTGCACCACTCACATTTTTCCCCTCGTCAATTCTATGATTCACTTCATCTTTCATAGACCCATCTGTTGACATGTTAACTCCTAAATATCTGAATACGCTCACCTCCTCCATACTCACTCCCTCCAATCTGATATCCAAACTTTCGTTACCTAATTTTTTGGTTATCCTCATCACCTTACTCTTTCCTATATTCACTTTTTTCTTCTTTTACATACCCTACCAAACTCATCCGCCAACCTCTGCAACTTCTCTTCAGAATCTCCCAAAAGCAAAGTGTCATCAGCAAAGAGCAACTGTGACAACTCACACTCTATGTTAGATTCTTTATCTTATAACCCCACATCTCTTGCCAGCACCGGAGCATTCACTTCTCTTACAACCCCATCTATAAATATATTGAACAACCATGGTAACATCACACATCCTTGTCTAAGGCCTACTTTTACTGGGAAATAATCTCCCTCTCTCCTACATACTCTAACCTGAGCCTCACTATCCTCGTAAAAACTTTTCACTGCTTTCAATAACCTACCTCCTATTCCATACATTTGCAACATCTGCCATATTGCCCCCTATCCACCCTGTCATACGCCTTTTTCAAATCTATAAATGCCACAAAAACCTCTTTAAAACCCTTGTCTCAATACTGTTCACCTATATTATTATTATAATCAAAAAGAAGCGCTAAGTCACAAGGGCTATACAGCTGTTCACCTATATGTTTCACTGTAAACACTTGGTCTACACACCCCCTACCCTTCCTAAAGCCTCCTTGTTCATCTGCTGTCCTACTCTCCGTCTTATTTTTAATTCTTTCAATAATAACTCTACTATACACTTTACCAACAGACTTTGAGTATAGCTGGTAAAGTCTGTTGAGTAGTAGTAGTAATAATTATTATTTTAGTCGTAAAGTATTATATATTTGTCCGATTTGTAACAAGTAGGTTTCCCCAACCGACATAACCAAGTGTTGTTATAATTATAAGCGCTAAACCCATAAGGGTCATACAGAGTTGCACATAACCAAATATATAGTCCGATATATCCCTCCTCGCTGATGTTAAATTAACAGCAATAAACACTAGACTGGAAAAATGTTGCAACGACCAGGACCTGGAGCAACTGCAGGATTGGTCAAAGTGTTGCTGGACTCTGACAAAAGCAAATGCAAGATTATGAAAATTTAAGGAAGCATAGGACCGGAAGCTGAGTATAGACTCAGAGAGACAGAGCGTGCAAACTACAGTAAAGAAAGACCTTGGAATAAGCATAGTTCACAGCATATGACCAGAGGCGCACCTCAACCTAAAGACTTAATGGCGAATGTACGACCAGTGAATCCAAGATTTACTTTCAGGAATCTCAAATTTATGACACTATATACGACATGTCACGGAAAATGGGTGGGATTTGAACCCATAGCAAGCGAGTCCTGAAACCCGTCCTGTTTGAACATAAGAACGAAGGAACACTGCAGCAGGCCTACTGGCCCATGCGAGGCAGGTCCAAGTCTCCTACCGGCTTAAGCCAATGCACCCAACCTAGTCAGGTCAGGTCACATTGACTTAACGGAGGAACACTGCAACCGACCTGGTAGCACAAGCTAACAAGGTCCAACTCACATCCACCCACACCCACTCATGTATTTATCCAACCTATTTTTAAAGTTACACAACGTTCTGGCCTCTATAACTGTACTTGGGAGTTTGTTCCACTCATCCACAACTCTATTACCAAACCAATACTTTCCTATATCCTTCCTGAATCTGAATTTTTCCAACTTAAAACCATTGCTGCGAGTCCTGTCTAGGCTAGATATTTTCAGCACACTATTTACATCCCCTTTATTTATTCCTGTCTTCCATTTATACACCTCAATCATATCCCCCCTAATTCTACGTCTTTCTAGAGAGTGCAGATTCAGGGCCCTTAGTCTATCCTCATAGGGAAGGTTTCTGATACATGGGATCAACTTTGTCATCCTCCTTTGTACATTTTCCAGAGCATTTATATCCATTATGTAATACGGTGACCAAAACTGTGCAGCATAATCTAAATGAGGCCTAACCAAGGATGTATAGAGTTGAAGAACAACCTGAGGACTCCTATTATTTATGCTTCTTGATATGAGGCCAAGGATTCTATTAGCTTTATTGCGAACACTTATGCACTGTTGTCTTGGTTTCAGATTACTGCTAACCAGAACTCCTAAATCTTTTTCGCAATCCATAATATTAAGATCTACATTATTTAGTTTATATGTGGCATGGTTATTGTCCTGCCCAACATTTAGAACTTTGCATTTGTCTATGTTAAACTGCATCTGCCACCTCTCCGACCACTGCATCAGTCTACTCAAATCTTCCTGGAGTGCTCTAATGTCCTCGTCAGAATGAATTCGACGGCCTATTTTGGTGTCATCGGCAAACTTGCTGATGTCGCTCTTTAGGAGAGAAGAGTTGCTAGATAAGTACAGGTCTGCTATAGATTTCATTAAGTCTAAGGGAGGGGTCCCAATCATATGTAGCATATTGCCTAGAAGGGGAGTAGGAAATGAATGGTTGTCTAGGGCAATTGGTGTAAATTGCTGGCTAGACAGATACTACAAGGAACTTGCAATCCCATTCATTGACAACCGGAACAACTTTTATGGCAAACATGATATGTATGCAAGGGATGGGGTACATCTCTCTGGGGCTGGGGTGGTAGCACTTGCAAACTCAATTGAGAATGCCATTGGTGAAATGCCTATGATTTTAAACTGATAGAAGATGGAGGTATGGGTGTGTGTGGGAAACAAGCAGGTTGCAATACTAGGGTTGGAAACAGTAAATGTATAAAAGGCATTCAGCATGAAGTTATAAATAAAGGCAATAGATCAGGTCAGCAAACAAAGGGAGACAGCAGAGGGCAGCAAGGGACTAGCTCTCTTAAGGTTTACTATACTAATAGCAGGAGTGTAAGAAATAAGATAGATGAGCTAAGATTAATTGCAAGTGCAGGAAACATAGATATTATTGCTATAACAGAGACCTGGCTCAATCTGAAAGATAGAGAGAGGCCCTCTGAATGTCACATACAAGGCTATAAATTATTCCACACTGACAGGGTCAACAGGAAGGGTGGTGGAGTAGCGATGTATGTCA